GTAGTAAGGCACTTGTTACTACTAGCGAGGCACTTGTTACTAGTAGCAACAAGAAGAACATGCTTTTTGCGACAAGAGCACGGACTTGCGGTGTTAGTGCTCGGGTGCTCTCGTGACCGGTCACGAGCAGCACGAGAGACTTTGCGTTCGACGTCAGACATTGCATGCACAGACGTGCCGATGAATTCGCCAGGTGAGCACTGACATCAAACTCTTGGAGGATGTGGATCCTGGTCTCTTGGGTGGCTTCAAGTTGGAGTGGGGCTACCAAGATCCCGACCGCCTCATTGCTCCTTCGCAGGGCGTGGACTTGTCCTTGAAGTTCATTCTCAACAAGCGGGCTCTTCAGAAGGGCGTGGTGGATGCCCTCTAAGGATCTTACGATCATCAAAGGAAGGAAACCCGGTCGACCTCGTCCGCTCCATGGTTCAGATCTGAGCCGGCTGAGGCCGTGGGCCATATATTTTTTCCCAGCTTAAGGTCATTTTGTCCGTCTTTTTTGGATCTGTGAAGTCCTGCACCTACGCCAACGCCGCGCGGCGGCCGAAAAAGAGGGCTCGGCCGGATGCCAACGTCATCTCGAACGCGGGTAACGCTGACGGGGGGGGGCAGTCGAATGAATGGTGCAGCGTTTTGGACCGACTTGGCACGACGGCCGACCTGGCAGGACCGTGGGCGAGACCTTCCCTCGAGAAAGCCGTGTCGCCCTCTTCGATTGAGCCGGACCGTCCCAGGGTCCTGGCAGGATTGGTCAAGCCGCTTTGGCCGTTCAAGTGGCGGGCGGCGACCAAAAGTGGGCGAGCGATGGCTGCTGTGGCCTGTGTAATATGATGCAATATGCTAATAAGATGCAATAATTCAATACGTCTAGAGATGTCCGGAGTCTGGAGAAGCCTATACTTGGTCATTACTGAAAAAGAGCACCCCACCACTGCTAGCAGTGTAGATGAATATCGAGTGGACCACGGAGCAGCCTACGAGTCGGTCTGGCGGGGACGCGGTCCACCGTGGCTCGGGCTCACGGCGGTCGGGTGGATCACAGCTAGAGGCTTTATAGTAATCCATAGACGGGTGCCGTGTCCTTTGTTGAAGCGTAACCTATTCAATCACATGCAGTTACAAATCAGTATCAAACTTGTCCTTGAGTTGTTGGTGGTGCACGCGGTAGGGCGTTGATGTTTTTTGGTTTGGCTCAGCTTCGCTGCGTTTCACCAGAAGCTATGAGAAGGCCAAAGCTATCACTGTATTTTCCTCAGTGTGCTTGTTTCACTATCACGAGAAGAGGTTGCATCAAAAAGTCGGCGCTGTTGAGCCCTATTTGGTGATCGAGGCATCACCCACCCCAACCTCCCACGATGAGTCTTAACCGAAAAGAAGTTCCAACTCACACAGAGCCAACATCCCAAGAGTCGATCTTCAAGCACTCCTCCCTCAAGAAAACCTCCAAACTCGCCGAACCGGCGCATGAAACGGCCCCAACCAACCGCGGCATCGCGCCCACAATGCCATGGCAAGCCTCTCCGAGAGCACCGCCTCGCGCGCGGCGCCGGGCGCGGACGCGGAGTCGCTGCCTGAGTCGCCGAGCGTCTCGGCGCCCAGTCTTTCCACGCGCTCGGCGCCTTGGAACATGGAAACGCTGAAGAGGGAGCATGGCACAGGGAGGAGGTGGAATAGTTGAGATATTTTACCAGGTCTTGGTTGAGGGTTTGAGCCTCGTGGAGGAAGTAGACAATTAGAGCCAGGGGAGGACCCGGGCAGGAGGAGGAGTTGTATATGCAAAGGCTCGGAGAGTCGTTTGGGAGCTTGCTAGCACAAGAAGCGAAAAGGAAGTAGCCTAGAATCCAAATGCGTGGACTGTGGTGGTCTTATTTTCCCTCAGAGCACGAATGGTCCTGCCAGAGGCTTCGGCCAAAAGACCACACGAAAAAGGACCGGCTGCCGCCACGGCGTTTAGACCTGGTTGGTCACTTCCGCCGTCACACGCGGCGAAGAGTGTCAGCGACCGATGCTTTGAGGTGCCAAAGATCACCAGGACGGGGTTGATTACTAGCAACTAGCATGCAGTTGCTTGCAAGAGTCCGGCGGGGTGCCTCCATAGCTTTTCGGTGGGCCTGCCAGGAAGCCTACCCACTTCTCTGTGGTGGATGCTGCTTAGCAAGATTAGATTCACCCGATAGACCCAAGCCTGTCAAGGAAGATTGTTTTCTAGTGCCAAGCTTGCGTGCCCAAGTGCTCTTGGAGTTGGCGAGTTGATGCGATGTGCAATCTTCTGTATGGATATGTATGGATTTGTTAATTATAGGTGTGTAATTAACAACAGAATAAACAACTCACCTTCAAGACACACATACAATATTTGATATATAGATTCCAGCAATAGCCAATTAGCAATACATATCAATACATCATACCATATCTTTGTATTGTTTGTTCCTTTTCATCCTCCGCCTGCTTTTACAGACGCCGCGTCGTGCAACCAGCTTTAAGCACCCGGGCTAAGCCCTGGGCACACGCCGCCCAACCGCGGAGGCTGTGCGGATCGACGCGGAGGGCTTCCGCAACCGGCGCGCCTATTGGATCACTGAGAGCCCTGAGGTCATGGACTGCTACGGCAGGGCCATTGCCCTCGTGGAACCTTGGAGCTGGTTGCCCCTTCTTTTTGACATGGGTGGGGAAGGGAAGGCCAAAGGAAACCAGGGGCACTTAGAGATTTTTTTTTTTTTTTTGGGGGGGGGGCTGCTGGTGATAAGTGAATAAGGTCTTGCTCAAACCGATTGCAAACGATACCTGGAGCGGCACCCCAGAAGTCCAGTCCTAGCCACCTCCCCATGTGTAGAGCCACTACCAGTGTTTCCTAGTGCCACGTAGAAAAGAGCTTGTCAAAGGCCATTGCAAATTGTTCAGCCATTGGCTTTCATGAGGGAACTGAAATGACGCACCACAGAAAGAATCTTCCGAGATCTTCCGGGTTGAGGGAGGTTGCGGGGTTCTTTGTTTTCTTTTGTGTGTGTGTGTGTGTCACACCCTGGTTCTAAGGGTTTTCCTTGTTCCCTTTTTCCACTGTTCCACTGAAGCAGGGGCGTGTGACGCTCTTCTCCTATCACACGCAACGAAGCTGTGGAGAAGAGTGGGAAGGGAAACTTGGCCAGTTTCCTGTACCTGCGACGCAACTGTTGATCAAGCCGTTCCACTTTCTGCTTTTTGTTTCATGGTGTTTCATGATACTCCCCCAAACCATTTCCTCCCCAGCAGCGATGCAGCTTGAGCCGCTTCGTCACTGCAGTCAAGGGAAACAATCATTGTTCAAACACCTACAATTCCGTGGACTTTTCACCATACGGTTCCATCGCCATCCTTCCCAACGTGGCAACTGAGTCTAACTGAAAACCAATGTCGAAGTGTGAGCCGCTCAGTCTTCCCACGTGGGTACTGGGTGTGACCCTCCGAAAGGAGGCGCTGAAATCATACCGGAAATCACCGACCTTTCATTTTTTATAACTGCCTGTTCGTCCATTCATTTTTATCACTGAATTAACGGATTTTCGAGCCGCCGGGCTATAAACGACGGACTTACCACAAGAATCTCTGAACTCCTTCGGTGTTGCAAGGTCATGATATCGGTTTTGTGCAGTTTGCGTTTTTCAACTCTCAATTTTTAATCCGCAGCCGTTTGATCAGCTTCCACATGCTCTACACCACTCCACAGATCGCAGGAATTGCATTGCATGCCACGAATTCACCTTACTTCCTTTCACTGCAGATGCACTCAGGCTCCACACTTTACCAGTACTTCCAACTTTTCATTTCAGCTGCTGTGCCGCACCGGCGACATTTTCTGCAGCCTTCAGCCTATCGGATTGACCTCTCCATTGTTCTCCACATGCAGTATCCCTGGCCATATCCACAATGGCCGTCACCTTGTGCCGCACCCACAATGCCTACCGTCAACACCCAGCCACCACCATGGCACCATCATCCACCAACCGCACCTATGCCTACTGTCTTGCCTCATCAACAACCACTAGCGATCTTACCTCAGTTTCAGCCCACTTCACCACAACCAGCTCCTACGTGGCCACTTCACCTGCCGCCGCATCATCCACCAGCACCGACTTTCGTGACCCACGCACACGCCTGCCCAGTACCATCTCTGTTGCAGGCATTTGAACCAATACCAGTACAACCTCCACACCACCCACCATTCTTGCAATCTCCACCGGTGTCATCGCCTCCACAAGCTCCACCGGCACCACAACCACCAGCACAACCAACTCCCATTCACTGGGACCATTCACAAGGCATTTGGCAACCTTACTCCCTCTTTCCACCAGTGGCTCACCCGTCACCGCATTCACACCAGCCATCAACCTCAGCTACTACAGTTCCCTCTGATCCAGCACCATCCACCGTGACATCTACGCCACCAGCTCCTGTTGACCCGAGCGCTCCACCATCAGCGAATACCCATCCGAGTACCTCGCAACCAGCAACCACTTCACTCCCTCCCACATCACCATCCACCACTCTTGCGCCCCCACCAGAAACAGTCCAACCGCTACCCAACGATCACACACACAACCTCAAGCAACTACACCTGCCCATTCGGGCGCTACCCATTCACCACATGCTTCTCTTGCAACCACCGGTCGTGCCCACCGCAGCAGAGGCCGCAGCCGACGTCGTCGCCGCCACCGCAGTCGCCGCTCACGAGACCGGCGCACCAGCCTCAACCGCTCAAGCTTCGTCAGCACGCCACCGGCGCCGCCGTTCCCCTTCATCCTCATATTCCGCAACCTCCGAAAGCCGCTCCCGCAGCCGCTCCCATGCACCCATCACTCTGCGGCCCAATCAACAGTCAACACCTCACCATCAAATTACCAACATGTTCCAGGCGGACTTTCCCAACATCCCAGCACTGCGACGGCCCAAGCCACCTTGGAAGCCACCTCCTCCACACTTCCATCAACTATCTCACCAAGAGCAGATCGAATGGTGGCTCGGTTTTCATGCCGCACAGCTGGCAGCAGAGAACAAACCGCAACACGCATACGTTGCAAAAATGCTCGCTGACAGCGGCTTCACCCATGATGATTTGGCTGATTTCCGACAACTTACACATGTCAAGTGGAATGACACTACCAATACTATGATTCCTTCTCCTACCACTGTATCAACATTCCCAGTTTGGTCGACAAGGCCACTCGCCCGATACCACCGCCTGCCACTCGTGCCACCTCCACTACCCCAGAAACAGTACACATCAACGCCGGTCACACCGGCCCACACGGCAACATTACCGCCGTTCTACAGCAGGGCCGTCTCCTGCCCAGCATCCTCCACTTTGATGCCAACCCGGGCTTTTTTGCCCAGGCAACACGCATCACTCACCAGCCACTCCACGACAACTACGAACAAGCCCGTATACTACACAACACATGGAAACTAGCAAAGAACACCCATTCTATCATGCTCCACCTCCTCGCATGGGGCCGGGGGACCAAATTCACAAGCGGCGGTGAAGCCCAAGC